TTTCTACAGATTCTAATGTAGAACTGTGTTCTTAGTTGGTACTACAGTGATGGGTAGGTTGTTCTTCTACTTCTACATAATGACTGTAATATTTTTAATATGAATGATAGTTTCTTGTACCAAATATCCTAGAAATGTGTTTCAATGTATTGTTTTTCCTCCAGTGCCTTATACAGTATGATGAAGGACCAGTATGCTAACTATGTCGTTCAGAAGATGATCGAAGTAGCCGAGTCTCCTCAGCGTAAGCTGCTGTTGCACAAGATCCGTCCCCACTTTACAGCACTACGGAAATACACTTATGGAAAGCACATCTTAGCGAAGCTGGAGAAATATCTGGTAAAAACTAATGATCTCGGCCCCATTGGACCACCTCCAAATGGAAACTTGTGACTATTTGGGTAGGACAGATCACCAGAAGTGTGGTTTTAGTTTCATGTTGTTTTCTTTGTTTATAGGAAAACAACTGTCTGGAAGGTCAGTAAAGTTAAACTGCTGACAAAGTGCATCCAGATGTTTAGTAGAATTGTATTTAGTTGAAGGGAAGAACTAGTAAGTATTGTGTGTTTAAGTAATAAGTCAGAAAAAGAAAATATGCAGCACAGTGTAATGTAAGACACACCCACACCCTCCCTCTAGAAATATATGTCAAAAAATGGATATCCTAGATTGGACCTTAATAGCTCAGTATACAGTAAAAGATTATTCCTTACCACACATAGGAACACTTGATTATCTATTTTACTATAATCACTGAAATTTTCTAAACAAAATAGTGCCATTGTGGTACAGGTTTGTTTCAGCTTTATTTTCTAATGATATTAATATTGTTAGGAAATTATCTGCTTGTATCTTGATCCTCACCTTGTACAGAAACCATGGAACTTGTGAAAAGTCATTGTTTTTACTGTCAACATTCTCTTGTAAGTAGGGCTTTTTGTTAACACATCATCACTGTTGTTTTGTGGGTATATGTTGGATAGGAAGTTTGCTGCTAAGGTTATTGATGTGGTTTTGTAGGTCACCGTTAAGGTCATTTCTGCAATTTTTTAATCTGTGTACTAAAATGAAATCTAAATCAGTAATCAGCAGGTAGGATAATAATGTTATTACCTACTTGTACCTGTCTTTTAAAGTTAGTTAAATGCCATATCCCATGAGAGAGTTATCCATGGCTGGTTTTGAAACTTTTATTAAGATGCGTAAGTGGATTTACAAAAGATTAGGCATCAAAATCAGAAGATTAGATTTAAGTTTTATATTTGGTGCCACCACTTTCTATGTTGAAATTAATCATAGTACAGTTGCATTTGGAGCCACTTGACACGTAAAGGGTTGTACTTTCAGTGTCATTACAGATCTTGCTTATATCCTCAGTAGAATAGCAGTGAACACGAAGATATTTTCTCTTAATCACATCTCGCTGGGTAAAAAGTGATGCCTGATCCTCTGTATTGCTTGCATTTTACATGCGTGTAAAAAAAGCAGAAACATTAGTAATTTTAACTTCCATCAAAAAAAAAGATATATTTTCCAGGTTTTTTTTAGCCTGTTGAGAAAATCATTTGCAAAGTTCTCTTTACATGCTCTTTGTTCTTGTATGAAAATTGCTTGTCATAAAGACTCACAAATTCTAGATGCAATGAATATGTGAATTTTGTACAAAGTGTATTTATAAGCTTTCATTTTCTATCTACGGTTTTCTCAAATCTTTGGACTGACATAAACCACATGATAAATGCACATCCTTTTAATGTGCAGGCCCATTAATATTGTAGAAATCATCATTTTGCCTTGACAAAATATAATCATGTCTTAACGTTTAAAACAAATTTTTTTTTAGAGTTTCATTGTTGTTTTCCTTTTTGCAGTGCAGCGGGAGAGAGAGAGGATGTTACACGGTTTAAGTTATTTTGTTTGAACTTTATTTGCTTGTTAACCCCCCCAATAACAGCACCAGTATTTTGTTGAAATACCTATTACTTATAAATTTTAAACTAATGCATATTTTACACATAACAATGCTTCTGGAGCCAATTTTATCAGTAAATTCAAAACACTTTCTTTCTTTTTTTGTGCTTATGAATTTGATATTTTTGTAATTTTTTTTTAATAACTAGAATAGAATGTAACATTCTAAAGTCGAAAATGTGTTTTAGACTTTATAAGCCTTCTAGACGTTAAAAGTATGATTTCGTTTTCAACCCCACACTGAGTGTCGTATAAACAGTTTGACACTAAATGGACTGTATTATTGAGTTGGCAGAGGACGATCTGTGTACAAGGAATGGAAAATTATAATGTGAAGACCTGGCATTTTATATCACTTGTAGCTTTGATGCAAGTCACAAAAATTATCCTTTAGACATTTCAGGTGTTACAATTGGCTGATATGTTGTGTTACACAGTGTGTATTTAAAACCAGGGAAAGTTTTGTAATGCGTCCTGCTTGAACTAAGATAATATAGTTTGGTAAGTTAGCTACTGTTATACAATTTATAGTTATTGAAACAAACCAAATCAACATTGGCAAATAATAAAATCATAGAATTTATGTACATGATATACATCTTTACACTTGTATCTACAAGTATCTTTACAGATATTTGTATTTTTCTATCCTATTTTTTTAATATATACAGGTGACTTTCGTTATATGAGGGGGTTGAGTTCCCAAGAATTGTTGCGTTTTTAAACTCCTCTTACTCATCAAAATGCAAGAGCAAAAAATAGGATATTACTTTAATTTCAAAAACATCTTGCTCTCCCGTAGAGGGAGCTGCTTCTCCAATAACTTCTTGGTTGAAACTTGACTACCATTCTTCAATTTCTGATTATAAACCTCCTTATAAAAGTTAAGGGAATTTTCAACTTCCCTCTGCACCTTAGAATTTCTCACGAGTTCTGGGTCATCTTCGTCAAAGATAGCCATGGCAGCGTCAATCAACTTGAAAGCCTGAGACTTGACTCAGATTCCTCTCTCACGTGCTTCTTCATTGCTCAGGTCCTCCTGGTGCAATTCTAGCAGCTCATCCACATCTTCTTTATAATCTCCTTCAAATCCAACCTGATGGGCAATGTCAGTAATGGCTTTCTTTGAACTTACAATTTCACTCTCCACCCTTAAGTCTTTATTGACATTTACATACTCGGGCCAAAGTTTTTTCCACATGCCATTCGTAAAATGAGGCAACACTTTATCCCAGGCTTTGCAAATAATATCAGTTGCCTTCTTGATGTTAAAACGGTGGCAGACATCCTTGATGCTGAGCTGATCTTCTGTTTACACTCTAATAAGCCTGGAGAAGGTTCAGCGACAATATTAACTTTTTACAAGTAGCTCTTACTCCTTGATCCATTGGCTGGAGGATGGAAGTGGTGTAGAGAGGGAGAAATAACACCTGAATACTTTTGCTGAGGTCAGTAATGTTTGAGTGTCCTGGAGCATTATCACCAACAAGAAGAATTTTGAAGAGAATCCTCTCCTTTTCACTGTAGGCTTTCAATTCCTTGTGTAGTAGCTTTCTCAAAAAATGTTCACAAACAATTGCCAATGTGGCATTCGTGCCACAGATTGATAGACCTTGAAAGGCCTTATTTTGTAGTCACTGGAAGCAGAGTGCAGAGATCTTTAGCTGCTTTAAATCCAGGTGCCATCTTCTCTTCAGTCGAAATGCAAGTTCAACTTCATCAATGTTAAATACCTGTTTGGTGTGTAACCTCCTTCCACAATCATTGCTCTGAAGCATGTTGAAAATTCTAAAGTGACACCATGATATGCAGGTTCTCTAGTCATCTTAAGATTATGGAATGCACGGCAAATATTAAAACGGTCAAACCATATCCAACTTCCAGCAAAGGTTTTAGATTTCTCTTGAATAAAGACTCCAGAAAAAAGCATGTTCTGCTGGTGCTGATACTCGACCCATTTGGCCAGCATCCTCTCCATTTTTTCCATCACATCTGATTGAGATTTTGTCACTCGAATGACACTAAAATTTAGAGATGATTTAGCACTCTTCCATATTGTATCAGCACTATCACAAATGGTAGTAGAATGTAGTCATCAAGTCCCATGACTCTTTGGATATCAATGCTACTCTCACCTCTTTCAAACCATTTCAGATCCTCCATAGAATGGGATTTTTGAGGCCTTTTTTTCACATTTTCATTCTTCGATTCATTAATTTTTTCTCTGTCCAAACAGTTTCAATGGATGGAAAATGATAACGGTCTGATAAAGATGAATCGAGGCATGTCCATGAGAAATGACCACATAAGATCACATCACTGATAAAAGCATGAAAATACTGTTATAGCACTGAAAAGTTAACAATAAAGACATTTAACCCTATCCACATGGCTGGTCAAACTGCACATGTCAAAGGTTTTTATTGAGTTACATTCAAAATTTAAATACATTAGTTTTTGGTTATGTTATACTAATTAGTATAACAAAATTGTAGCTAATAAGCTAATATAAGTTTAAATTCTTTATTTAATAAGGCAATATTTGAAAAATCTGAAATTTCACGTAGTGCAAGAAATGTGACATTGTTTCTCTAATTTATTTACCACCCCTCCAATGACAATGAAATTTAATGTAAGTTACTCACTATAATATCGTCAGTGCTTGGAAAAAAAGTATATTTTTATTAGCCTTCAATCTTGTGTGGTTACAGAGCCATCAAATAGAAAATCAGTCACAACCTGTCACATCCTCTCTTACATTTCCAGTTAAGTTAGTTTGCATTCTGAGAAAATGTTTCTGTTCCCACAGAAAAGCTATTGAATATCTTAGATGAAGTTTTAACGGCTCTTGTTGCATAGCTCAAAAGCCAGAAAATTTGTGATAGTTACAGGACTGCCGATAGAGATGCTGTCTTTTCCAGGAACTTAATGTGCCGAAATAAACCGCAGATGCATCAAAACGGCTACCAAAAACAAGTATGACGAGAGTCACCTGTACACATTATGATGTCAAAACATATTAGAACCTTCAGATTACCATCAACATGTCTTAACTAGAGACCAACCTTTAGGCTTATTCTTTCTTATTAAAATGGATTCTTTAATATTTTGATCTAGAAAAATTGACTTTTAGATAAAGTTTTGACATCTAATAACATGTTATCTGCTTTTAATGTCCCTTGTTTTTTTTTATAATGTTAGTAATAGCATTGTTAGCCTTGAGGTTTTGGTTATCATGTATGTCGACCATTCTAAGAATCCAAAGTAAAAAACAGTAAATGAATAGTTCTTGTTAAAATGTTATGGTGAAGTTTTACAGGGAATTCATCAGTTCACTGTGTAAGTATTTAAAAGATTGATTGGAAACAATAAGTCATTGTTTTTGTAGACAAACTGTACATGTACATAGAGGATTGCACATATGTCACGTAATCTGTCAAATACTTTGGTACTTGCCTGGAGAAGACAGTGAACTGTTACTATAGGGGCTAAGTCTGTTTTCATATAGTTTCTTTTAATTCTTGCCGTGCTTTGAAAAAGTACACGGGGGCCAGTGCTTTTAACTACAGCTTCAAGAGGCACATGGGGATAAGAATGGTGATTCCTCCTGCATGAGTACCCATCATACATCTGGGTAAAGTGTATTTTCCGAAGACAACTGCATAATGCAGTTTAGACTGGAAGCCACTGAACCCCCCACTTTGGTGGATATATATCAGCTACATAGTTGGCCCTTTCAACAGAATATTAACAACTGGTAACTGGGAAAAGAACTTAAAAACCATTTTATTATTTTCCTCCCCACAGAATGATGACTAACAAACTGATTGGGTTGGAGATTACTTGACACACCCTATTTATTTGTTGTTATTAAGGATCATGTGTGCTTTCTAATCTGGCCTTCATTTGAGTATTAGGACTTTTAAACAGTTAATATTGGGCTTCCTTCCTAAGCGAACTTACGTTTTTCGTAATCCCTATGTTGTTTTTATTTACTTCACACATAAGATAATAAAGAGACGAGGAGAAGTAATGTCCTCTCGCTGCTGCTGCTAGGACGCACAACTTTACTCTCTAATTTACTGAATTATGATGTGTTGTTAGTGGGTTTGGAGAAGAAAAAGGTGACCTGATTAACTATTGCAATTTGAAATTAGTCACATTTAACAATTCCTAGAAACCTACATCATGTACACCAGCGTGAACCTGTTGTAGCAGGTAATCGGTAGTGCTTTAAACAGTTTGAAACCAGCCCACTGCCAAAATCTTAACAGTAAATATCACAATACAATGTCCACATTGTATGCTAGTCCTTGATTTGATCAATAGTCAGCAGTGGCATTGTTTTTGACAATAAAAATTAGGTAAAGGGGTTTCTTATAACCATGCATATGGTGGAACAAGGAAGTTGTGTTACTACAACTCAAAGTGTTTTGTCCATAAGTAGTATTGGCTTTTGCTCTCTACAGGTCAGTCTTTTGGATGAGTAAAATCAAAATTGGCAGTACTTTTTGTATTCTGAATTTCAACTATGTTTATTGTAATATATATTGGTGACAGTGCAGAAACAATAAGTGCCAAAGTTTACACCCCTAGCCAGAGCAAAAATTTACAAGAAATTCCAGTCTTACATGTTGTATACGTTTTCTACATGGGTGTAATGTTAAGTTTAATAGAACAATACATTTAAAATTTTAAATAAGGTCTGAACTTCGGAGCTAGCTATAGTAATTTGAAAGACGATGCCAAGGTGTGATAGGGTTAAACAGTACGAGACTGACTGGGACCGTATTTAATTTCCCATGTGGTAAAATAGTTTACTTCAACAAGATGTTGCACATAGTATCCTAAAATTATCTAGAATTTAAAGCTAAAAAAAACAAGTTGATGCAGATATCTTAGTCCAGAGGGTAAGAACATAAAACCTTGCATACAATCCTCCCTTCCTACAAGGGAAAAACTAGAACCAGTTAGCACATTATATTGTGTTCTTGTTGCCGATGTCACTTGGTTCTGGGATAAACAAGAAATCTTAAGGTAATAATAACTGTTGGTAATACCGCTTTGTTTCCTTGGCTCACAACAGATTTAACAGTAATAGTTGTGTTTGAAGTTATATGTAGAATTTTTATAATAAGCATATTTTCGTAGACACGAACAAAATGGATGGTTTTAATAATTGAATAACATCCTTTTAAGTAGTGTAGCTGTGTGTGTGTGTTTAGATTAGAAAATTTGTAGCTAGTTATGACTTTTTTTTGTTTAACTTTTGGTATTCTGGGCTTTGTATAAATATGTAAATTGAAACACTCAAAATCACACTATGTAAAAAGAGTCAAATGTAGAAATTCATCATCAACTCAAGTTTGTACATTTGCTTCAGAAATGTTATGGCCTTTTGTAAATGAGTCATTCCTTTGTGTGCATGGCTAATGATAAGCAAGCTTTGTTTTTATTGTGGTAAACTTGACTATTGATGGTACTGAAATATGAATAATTGTAACTAAAATCTAATAAGTGCTGTTTAAAATTGATATACAGATTTTTTAATCTGGTATATGTGATTATATTATGCTAGATTTTATGTGGGTTGAGGTACTCTATATTTAAAACACATCCTTGTCCAGTTTACCAATTAGAATTTATGATTAACAAAATTAATGGAAACTTATTTTAGATGGTACAGTCTCTCGTCAATGGCAGAGCAATAAACTCACCAGACCTTGTGTGGTTTTACTTCAGCCAACATCACAATGCTGGACTTTCTTCTTAGGAAATTAGAGTTCAAATACAAATTCTCTTCACTAGTAATTGGTAAGGATGTGTTTTTCCCCCATAATATTAATGTAAGTGTTGGATTTTGGTATGCTTTGTAAATGTTGTATTATATTTCAAAATGTAGGAAATAAAACTCGTTTTGCAACCATATCAGTTTTAGGAGTCATCTATTCGGTTCAGAAAACTTAATTTCTTACATTTGGAATTTGTAGCAGAGTTAGTATATTAACTTTACCAACCAGGAGAAAGATGAAATGTAATACAGAGCACAGATTAAACTTTATTTTAAACAGAACATCCAAGTAACACCAGAAGTCCACTTACACTGTGAAACCAGCAGTGTTGGTAGTAAGAAACACCTAGAGTTAACTACATAGTAAAAGGACTTGGATTAATTAGAAGTATTAACCTAGATGAGTAGTTTTTTCAACTTAAGCCTCACCCACTCCAGGTTTGCGGACCAGTGGCATCTGCTTTAGTTGGAGAATTATGGACCGCATGCGGGAAGTGTCTTTCGTGCCACGAGACGTCTTGGGATTGAAGTCGCACATCCGAGCAATTCTCTCCCATTCCGGTCCACCTGGCCGCTGGGTGTCTTCTTCATCAATATATTCCTTTTCTGCATTCCTAGCAAGAAAAAATAGAACTTATAAATACTCCTGGAACATCAGACATTAATATATGTGAACATGGAAAAACGATTGACAGTGTTTATAACTTGGATTTACCTAGAAAATTATAGTTGAGTGATTAATGTATTTAAGTTTTTCAGGAACACTATTAACACAGAAAAAATCATGTCAAAACACCTTATTCTAGAAAAAGAGAAACTGAATTTACTGTCCTGTACATATGATAACATTTCAAAGTCACTTACTGCTTAGAGGATGTGGTTATAGTATGTAACTTAGTGCTCAGTCAGACCTGAAACCTTTCTTTTAATTGTCTTTGTGAATTTAAGAAAAACAAGAAAATCTTCTGTTTAGCTTTAAAGAAACAGATATACCAACACCTGATTAATAAAAATTTCCAAAATTTTCAAAATGTTTACTTACTTCGACACTTCCCTGAAAGTACAGCAGCATTTGAAGATAAGAATGCAGTTATTATTCTATGCTTCATAAGAAATTGAAACAATAATGATAAACTAACATTTTCAATCATTTCATTTACAGGTGTAATGGAAAAAAATCATTTTAAAATACAAAACAAGCATTTTCTACTTTGAAGATGACTTCCAAAATTGTATACTAAACAAAAGTACAAACATGTAAATTATTAAAACACAACAGGACTACATTACATTATGATATCCTACCTAGCCTTATCAATCTTTTAGGGGTGCAAAACTTAACTTCCATTTCCCCTAATATTTGAAATAATTCATAACATATTCCTTTCATCAGCTAACCCACCTGTTATTTAATTTTGCTTTTTCGATCTGTTCGTAATAACGAGCATACCACTCTTCAAGCTCTCGTACAGCAGTGTGGTGCATTTCTTCTTTTTTGAGTCTTTCTTCTTCATCTATAACTCAAAATAATGTTATAATTAGATAAGGGACAGTAGAGATTATATTACAAAGTCCTACATAAACTAATATGGTATGAATAGCCACCATGTGCACCAAGGTGGTTAAATTTTTTTTTTTTGCTCATTATCTTATTAACAGCAATAATTAACTACTTTAGGTTTTTTTGGGGGGGGGGAAGATTCATAATATAAAAGAAAAATCTCCAATGATTTGACTGGTTCTTTTAACCAGGGAGAGAGCGAAAAAACTTTTGTCAATATTAACCTTGACTACTCGTAAACAACAAAACAATATCAAATTCATAAAGAAGTGTGTTCTTGGTTAAAAGGAACTTCACTTACAATGTCAACTTCTACTCATACTTTAAATACAGAACACACCTTTCCTTTCCAACATTTTCTGATGCTCTTCTCTCCACTTACAAATCTTTTCAGGCTCTTCTCGAACCACTGGCTTTGCACTAGAACTTAAAGTTGGTGTAGGTTCTTGTGTTCCGTTCATTTGTAAAGGCTAAAAAACAGACATTCTTTGTGAAAAATCACCATCAAACCATTCTTTTTTTTTTCCTTCCCCATATCTATTAAAGAGCAATTTTTTTGTTACATATTAACTATTTTCATTCATTTTCTATCTGTGAAATAATATATGTTGCTGGAGAAATTATTTTCATATTGATACATTACTTTTGTACAATAAAAATGAAATGTGGGCCTAACAAGTGCTTAAGCCAAACCGAGTTATATCAAAACTGAAGTATTTCAGTGCTATATTTGTCAGTAAATATAAATTGTTACCTTTACCTCATTATTTTCCCCAAAGGCAAACATGTCTGTTTCACCATCTCCCATGAAGTCTACAAAAAAATAAAAAGGAAATTGTTTGCATTTAAACTCCAGAACCAGTTCATCCATGATAAAAACATAAAATTACAAAAAATACAAGCATAAAAAAACATTACAGCTGAAAAAAACAACAACAACAACTATCTTTATTTTATCTTCTTGCTGTGTAACTAAAAATTGGTAAAGTTTAACATCCCTCCCCCATTTCCAATCCTTTATAGACACCAAAAGTTAAACATTTGATCATTGTACCAGTTTGTGAAAACATGACTCAGGGTGAGAATATTAAAATTTTAAAAACAAATCTTTTTTAACTTGCGAAAATATTTTATTTAAATTTTTTTTCTGGTCAAAAAATATACGAAAGATAAAAGTGAAAGAAGGTCAACCAGCCCATTAAGGTCACTCGTCCATCCACAAATGAATTAAAGCTTAACTGTAGTAATTCCCAACCACATACCTACATAATGAACAAAAGAAAAACTAACTAACAGCCTCGGAGTTTAACACGCTGCCAGTTTCTATGGGAGTGACACATCCTCTTATGATGTACACAATAATAGTGCCAAATAATGTATAATTTCTACAGTCTTTTAAATAATTATGATAAGAGAAGATACAGACTAAATGCTCAGAGCCATACTAAATCCATTGATAATATGGGGTACCTCTACTTTTACATACATATAATCTCAGGAGAAAGTAAGCCCTATTGGTCCATCTTGACCATTCTATCCACTTCAGTAAAACACTCAAAGCCAGCCTTTATCAATCAAATACTTATCAAGCCTTCCTTTAAATTAACTGTATCCACCACATTTGAAAGTAACTCGTACCAAAGGCCAACTATCCTGTTAGAAAAATAAAACTCTTAACTAAAGATGACTCCTACTTTACCAAATTTATATTGGTGTCCTCTAGTCCTACCATTTTCAACATTAAGTATGGAAAAACTGATGGATCAACATATCAATTCCCTTAACAATCTTAAACCTCAATCAGATCCTATCCAACTTCTTTTTTCAAGAGAAAACAAGCCTAGAGATCTTAACCTCTCCTTGTATGGCAACCTTTTTATCCCAACTATCTTTTTCATAGCCCTCCTCTGAACCTTTTCTAACAGTTCAATGTTCTTCCTAGTGTAAGGAGCCAAAGACTGAACATAGTACAGCAAATGTAGCTAACCTCTTTGGACTTGTATTCAATATTACTGTAGATAAAACCTAAAACCATATTTCTCCTGCTACAAACAACAGCACATTGTTATAGTATTTTGGCACTTGTGTATAAAGTTAAAATCATAAATAATATTCAACAATTTGAAGGCCACAGATAGGCCTAATTAAAATATTTTTAATTGTGTACCAGTTTAACGTTGAATATTATTTATGATTTTAACAGCACATTGCTTAGATGGCTTTATTACAACCCTCTGCTTTCTTCCAGCCAAGCTATCCTCCACATCTACAGAAACAACTTTTTTAACAAACTTTTTAAGTGGCACCTTGTTAAAAGCTTTATGAAAATCCAGATACACCAAATCCTCATCTAAGTAAGCAGTAACCTCTTCAAAGAATGTCAAAAGATTAGTACAACAAGAGTTTTTCCCCTAATGAAATCATTAGTATATTATGAAGAAAAAGTAGAATTTAATAATCGAGCCACCTCAACTATTAGACATGAACATTCCTTTATCATCCTTCAAAGGCTCTACTCCCATCCTAACATTTTGTTTACCCTCAATGCATTTAAAGAAATCATTTTTAATTTTGCAGCCAATGTTTTTTCATATATCAACTGGTGAAGAAAACCATCTTGAATGGTTTCTAAAAACCTCAAGATCTGACTAACATTTCCCAGTCTGTATGCCTGAAAGTAACGTCTACCGTAATTATAACCTAATTAACAGTTTAATTCTTTATCTCACCGTACACAATTTATCATTAATTTCATCAGTTTTGTCTGGTGGTCTTGTAACAAATCCCAACTAAAAGCGTTCTCCTCTTATAATCACAAACAGAAACCCAAATAGATTCAACCTCATTGCTATTAACTTTGATATCCTTAACTTGAACAGGGTGCAACTCAAATTTACATATAAATCCACTTCTCTCTCTCTTTTTAGTATTTTTGCCCCATCAAATACTCAATAATCTTGTCCTTCAAAGAAATTCCTGTCACCAAAACTATGATTTATTAGGAATAATTTAAACCTGGTTAAACAAACCTCTTCCGATCAGTGCTCTAAAGTCATCTGTTTTATTTCTTATACTTCTAATATTACAATAGTAACAGTTTAGCCTACCATTAAAACTAATTCTGTAGTTTGTTTCTACACTATACTTTTCTCTATATCTAGTTTATTCTGGTCCTCACCACTGTCTAGTCCTAGTTTTTAAAGTTGTCCTTACAGTTGAGTTAATAGCCCTTGCAAACAAGCCAGCCCCTACCCTATTTAATGTAAACCATCCATTCAAAAAAACTCCCTTTTCACAATCACTGATTCCACAAATCCAACTAACCAACTTGCTCATCCTTATATATACCAAGGCATAGCATCTGCCCTAGTAACCTACACATAATTTCATCCCCAGTTACATCCTGCCAGTATTCCCTAACATAAATCATTATGGCCTTTTTTCTTTAAATATTTTTATCAATTCCTTGTACTTATCGATTAGTTCCTCTGACTTATCCTTCAGTAAATCATTAGCACCTTGCACAACAAAGACTGCATCATTGCTAACACCCTTTACTATATCTCTTGCTCTGGATAACATAACCTAATTCTTTTCTTCATGTTTACACCCACAGACTCCTACCTATGTGCTGTATTAGTCACCTACAACAATAACCTTCTTATGTTTTTACTTTTGTTCCAACTGGTATCCTTAATTTCTCTAGTTTGTAATTTGCCCAAGCTAACAGCTAAAATCTGTTACTTAACAGAACCTACTTTTTACAATTAACTCCACTACTTCTGGCCCTAATAGTCTTGTTTCTAACTTCCTGAAAGTCCCTGGCATGTAAATACTTAAGCTTCTCTAGAAATCCTGTTGCTATTTCATACACCTTACACTTCTCTTTCCCTACTATCTCTGCTCTATTTAGGAGACCTTCCAGGATACCTCTAACCTACAAACTACATACATCTGGTTATCTTTACTTGTACATAAAGATGGTCAATATAATATCAACAGAAAAAGGTTAAGGATCTGATTATCTTTAATTGAACATAAAGATAGTCAATATAATATCAACAGAAAAAGGTTAAGGATCTGGTTATCTTTACAAAAATATGGCCAATATAATATCAACAGAAAAGGGTTAAGGATCTAGTTATCTTTACTTGTACATAAAGATGGTCAATATAAAATCAACAGAAAAGGGTTAAGGATCCAGTTATCTTTACTTGTACATAAAGATGGTCAATATTATATCAACAGAAAAAGGTTAAGGATCTGGTTATCTTTACAAAAGGATGGCCAATATAATATCAACAGAAAAGGGTTAAGGATCTAGTAATCTCTACTTGTACATGAAGATGGTCAATATAAAATCAACAGAAAAGGGTTAAGGATCCAGTTATCTTTACTTGTACATAAAGATGGTCAATATTATATCAACAGAAAAATTTTAAGGATCTAGTTATCTTTACATGTACATAAAGCTGGTCAATATAATAACAGAAAAAAGGTTAAGGATCTGGTTATCTCTACTTGTACATAAAGATGGTCAATATAACATCAACAGAAAAAAGTTAAGGATATAGTTATCTTTACTTGTACATAAAGATGGTCAATATAACATCAACAGGAAAAAGTTAAGGATCTGGTTATCTTTATTTGACTGTAAAAAGTTGCTTGAAACCTAATATTTATCCAATAAAAATACATTTATGGGGAAAACAGAATTAAGTATTCTTTGTGATAGTATTTCATACTAATTTCTTTTTTCTATTGCTAATACAACATGAAGGTGATACTTTTAATATACATATAGAATCCATAACATTTAATTTTCAATTAGAAGCAGTCTTTATATATGAGTAAAGATACCTATATAAGAAATTACTCTTAGTTTGGTGTTTAATCCCTGAACACCTTAAGATTTGATACTGGAAGTAGCAGCTCAATGTAGAATTAATGGTTTAGATACTGAAATTACCATCAGCATCTAGAACACATATCAAAACTAAAACTAATATACAAATTTAAACTTTAAATGTAATTTCTCCAATTAAGAGCCTTACAACTCTTACTAGCACTAAGTAACACCGAGTCTGAATCCAATCCAACCCTCAAGCCCAAAAATTGCATCATTCTGCTTCACTGAATAAAAAATTTTAAGGGGAACATTCTCCAAGTTGTAGCAAGTTTAAAACATGCTAAAATTTTACTATCTCAAAAGCCTCATTCAAACACTTTCATAAAAGTTGCCATCCTGATATATCATTATTCAATTTATTGTTATTATTGTGAGAAAATTTCTCTTCGACATACATAATTATATTTATAATAACCGAGATATGCCCATATTTGTAACTTTTACTTAACTATTCAATTTTGATTATATGAAAAAATACAAAAAAACATAAAAGTATAAGCAATTGGATCCTAGTTCATCGTTGTTTATTTTAGTTGTGCTGGCCCAATTTGTTAAGCTAGGTGTTTTAAACATACAATTTCAAGGAACCTCTCTGCGCAGCAAGCCTAATGGCAGTAATGCCAGTAAGCATTACTGTAGTAGTAGTCCACTCAACCTTAACGTGGCACTGATTCCCCTACTAATAATATTCAATATAACATTTCTAAACTTTTCATTCACACTGTCTAAATTCTAAGTAAAACATTATGGCAATGCCTCTAAAATTGTAAAAGATTTACCATTATCATTTTGATAATCGGCAGTGACTTGGTGGGCCTCGGATTCTGCAGTTGTCAATGTTGAAGACTCAAAATTCACGTCATCTTCTAGGCCTGCTAATTCATCCTGTTCTCTTGCCAAAAATTCTGCAGCTGGGTCATCTTCCGGTGAAATCTCATTATTAAATGCATCAAATCCAGACATTTCATAAATTAATGAATTTAACTATCTATTAATATGAATAATTACAACAACAGAAAATCTTACTTCTCACAATGTAAAAGTGGGAGGGTGACGTCCTTAGTTATTTATACGAGGTACGAAATAAAATCGTTTGCTCTTGCTCCAAGCGCCATCTACGAATATTATATTTCAAATGTTTATTTTAACTACTGATATAGTGCTTTTAGCAAATGAAATTAATACAAATAAGATAAAATAAATCATAAAAACTTTTAGAATAAAATATTCATTGTTTAGGAATAAATAATATTTTAGTTTCTGCAGTGAATGAGAAACAGTTTGCTCCGACCCAGATTTAGTCTTGATTATTAGGGTTTCCGACTTATTTGTTCGGTGTTTCCAGAGCTGAATTATCGGTCTTTTGACCATGACAGGCTTCTTTGTATCTTAATTAGACTGGAAATATTAATTTATTTGTCGAATACAAAACATTATATGGCAATTGTATTAATATTTTCGTATTAGACAGGACTGAAAAAACCTCAGCATGAAGCACAAAATATAGTTAAAAATTCACCCACAAGCAGTCAGTCTCTCAGCATTCAAACTGCTTGAAATTATTTTACTTGTTTTGATAGCACCTAAAAATATTTGTTTCGAAAAATCTTTCGTAGACTAACTAGCAATTATAAAAAATAAATATATATTTTGGAATTCAAAGAAGATAACTACGTTCTTTCACTGTTATATATATTTCAAGTCAGTGTTTAACTTCATTAATTGCCGACACGATAGACAGATTCAAAGATACGTCAAGAGTATTTTCATTGTTCCAGTAACAATCCAACTTATTGTGTAAAGTTGCCATTGTTATTTTTAAGTATACCCCTTCACAAAGTCTGGAGGACGTTAAAACTAAACTTTTTGCTTCATAGCACGAAATAGCGGCTTTAGTGACTGAAGTACAACATTATCATATAATACATCAGGAAAAAATTAGTTGAAGTAACACACAATCAGCCTATAACTTGTTTATGTTACAGCGTTTGTAACAAATGCATTTCTTATATGATGTGTTAAATATAACTACTAGATAGCAGCACCACCGGGATATTCTTAATTTACATGTACATGTAATTTGAAAGCAAGACGGGTCCTATTGGATCACATAGGCCGTCTCCCACACCAAATTTTATAATCAGTATAAAATACTCAAAGCCAGCTATTATAATTCAAATATTTATCATGCTTTCCCTTAAATTAATTGCATTTGAAGGCAACTCATTTCATAGGCCAATCACTCCGAGAAAAAATATAGCTCTTAAAATACTTGTGGACCCTAGATCTACCATACTTATCATTAAAGAAAAAAGATGATGCATCAACACTATCAATTCACTTAACAATCTTAAACATCTCAATCAGATTCCCCCTAACTTCTTTTTTCAATAGAAAACAAGTTTAGAGATCTTAACCTGTCCTCATAAGACTACTTTTCCATCCTAGTAGCCATCCTCAGAACCCTTTCCAGCAATTCAATCTCCTGCCTAAGATAAGGATCCAAGATTGAACAAACTACTACAAATGTGGCCTAACCAAATAACATTATAACCTCTTTAGACTTTTATTCAATATTTCTGTATTTACAACATAAAATCCTATTTGCCCTGCCATGAGCAACAGCACATTGCTTGGATGGTTTATAAGGCTGACCAACCAGAACACCAAAATCCTTTTTTTCCATAACATTGTTAAGGTTATTCCCATCAAATTTATACTCATAATTCAAATTGTTATATCTCACATGCATTATTTCTCATTTATTATAATTAAAAGACATCTGCCATTTATTTGCTGAACTAATCAAATAATCCAAATCCTTTTTTGAAGCAGCAGCATCTTCTTCACAAACAGCAACACCCAAAACCTTAATATCATCAGCAAATTTAAATATCTATTGACCATTCCTTCATCTATGTCATTGATGTAAATCAAATAGAGCAAAGGTCCTAATACTGAGCCCTGAGGTACCCCACTTGCAACTTTTATCCAGTATGACTGAACTCCATTTATAAAAACCCTCTGCTTTCTTTGATTCAGTCACTTTCCTATCCAATGAGCAAAACTACCTCCCACACCTTCAGATGATTTTATTTAACAAGCCTTTCATATGGCAGATGCTTTCTGAGAAACAAGATACGCCACATCCACAATGTCAAATTCGTTAGACATATTCGAACAGTTATGTTTATGCTGTATGATATTGATAATTTAATTTTATTTAAACTTTCATGCTCTACTGTTTCTACTTACTTTATAAACATGTATATGGTTAATTAATGTGAATGTTTTATAGAGAAAATCAATATAAAGAATCATGAATTCCACATGAAATCACTTTTTTTTTTAATTAGAAATACAAAATCATAAAATTACAAGTTTGGTATAACAGTCATTTCAGTTATTGATTGAATAGCTTCGATAATACATGAAAAGAAGTTCACATTCATGTATCTTTACGTAAACCATATAAAACACTGCACCATCTATATGTTTCATTAAATTACTAAGGTTTTCATTATTTGAATGTTATGGTATTAGTGTTTATAACCAGGTCAGCATCTTAAGTGATACATACAAAAAATGTCTAGTACAGTAGTCCCTCATTTTTAACTACTGATCAGGTGAAAGGCAGCCAATCAACAGCACCCATCAACTCCGAGGCTTTGAACCAAATAGTACAACTGACTATAAACTCTTATAATGCACTCAAACCTAGAGCTGTGGAGTGTGTTGGTGAGAACCATGGACCTTCTATTCAGCACAGCATGCTAGCCATTATGCCACATCCAGTCTTTGAGATTTTTTACTTTTTCATGAGGTGATCCTTTTCTAGCTTCACCTTCAAATTTTATTTCCTAAATGTGTAATCTGTGACAATCTTTTTGTCACTTTATGATAAAAAAAAGTTAGTGTCTTATACATTACAAATTTATCTAAGTATGCAAACTGTGTTGCTAGTGAATAAAATTTTTTTTATCTGAGATTACAAACTTGTACACTTCTCTTCAAAGATGATCCATGGCTATCATTTAGATGGTGAGGATTTCTTCACATCATCTGTAACACTGCTATTCTGTTTGATGGGTAGAGTCAGATTTAACAAATAAAAATTCATTTAGAACCTAAAATCTGTAAAACTCACCTTGTGTATATCTATTAAATAGATGTAGTCTTTATATGGTCTGATATGTATAATTGATTTGTTAAATTCTTCTAATTACTCTACCACTGAGATTTCGTAAAATCGTATTTTAGTCTTGGGTCAAGGGAAGCTAACTGAATCCAATAAATTTGATGAATACAGAAATTCTACTTCAAATGAATTATACTGAGAACTAGTGAGAGTAGATTTTTTTATGTATTCATAAACCTAAGACTATGAGTTAGCAGATAGATTAGGATATTTAAATCTTACAAGCTGTTAAAGTTTAGATTTTATTGTTCGAGTCTGGTTTTTACTGCATACTTTTAAATCTGTTTTTTAGAATCTAATCTCATGCAGGTACCATAGGATTCTTGAGGATTTACTATCTTGGTGGGATATTCTGAAAATATGTTAACAAGTCTCTGAAACATACCTAAACAATTTTGTAAACATAATTTCTGGATACCTTGCATATTTTCACCCATGTCTTAGAACTTTGCTTTATAAATAATATTTCATTCTACAGAGTTAACAACTAGTTTCATAAAATCAATAGCCAAGATACATGTAGTAATTAATGTGTACAGCATTGCAGTTAAGGCCCTTCAAAAGTAACTGTCATTATCAAAACTATTTATAAAAATGAGCTACTTTAATTATTCATAGAAATTATTTACTGATAAAATTCCATAGTACAATAACATTTAACAACTATGATTGTCACATGAAAATCAACCAATAGCTGGCCTTATTAAATCGTAATGTAACCTATAGGTCACTGCAGCTTTACAGTTATATATATGTATATATAATGGTATCTTTCATGGTTGTTAACCTAAACGCCTTAATTAGTGTCAAAAGAACCATAAAAACCCAGACCAAATCCTTTACTAATTAAATATATAATCTGACAATTATAAAACAATTAGTTACACGGCAATAAGATCTTCCATGACGCAATACCTCCACAAATCAGCTAGCATAAGTTAAAAAAGCCTCTAATACAATGCACAGACCCATTAAACCATTACCTCATTGAACAAAAAGAAATAACACTAAGTGTATTTATGAAGTCAGATGTGAACAGACAAACATATATACGCTTTACAAATGTGAACACCAGTGGCATAATATGAAAAGTTATCATGATAATCTAGTGACAGTTTCTAGTAAATCTATTTGTACTTTAGGCCTACACATCTACTGTCTATGGCACCTTTTTTTTACAGTTCTTAAGAAATTTGTACTACTTCAGTGACCAGATGTTGGTTTATTAAAAAACTTTGTGAAATTGTGCCTTTACCATGTTTTTTTTTCCTGATGTTTTCGCATTTGAACTCGGTTAACTAGAACAGACAGACATATTGCATTCACTGTTTAATATATATGAACATTCGTGGAAAACACATATACAAGTACTCCTTTTTACACTGTTTTGTTGCACAATATAATATAATATTTTCTTTTAATTTTTTGTTGAATTTGACAAAGATATTTCAACACTTGCTGACAGATATTTAAACATTTAAAACAAAAATAAAATTTCGATATAAAAATAGTAACAATACTTACTGTAACAACTACAGCTGTATAACTGTCACATTTCTTGTGGTACTGAGCATGCTCTGTAAGGCCTATCATGTTATAGCTATCAATAGCTTTACTCATAATTGAAGAATTTTGCTTGGTTTACCATTTACTGGTAAACCTTTTGTGAAGACAATAATTGAAATACAAAGGGGGAAAATTAGACTAACAAGGTTATTTAATGTAAGATGTAGTTATCCCAATAGGAAGAAAACTGAATAAATCAGCATTAATTCTATATTTTGCAAGATATCAGGTGATATTCTAAGATTAACCAAGAACAAGGAGACAATAATATTGATCCTTAGTATATTTTTCAATCTTTTCAAATATAAAAATGTTATATAATATACAAATATGAATTTATAAATGTCTAAAATACTATATATAAATAAAAAATTTCCAACCAGCTCATTAAAATAGCACAATGAAATCAGATCCTCCTAAACTTACAGCTTCACAATTCGTTACAATTTTCTGGACCTCATCTTATTTCTTTACACCTTTAAGCTTATCACTTCTGACTTTTATAAAATACAATCCAAATTTATCGTCAGTATAAATGTAACGATTCAACCAATTCAAAACCACTGTATAATACAAAAGTTTAATTAATGTATAGATATATTTAATATAGAAATATACTCTTCTTCATAAATATTTTACTTTTTTTTACATCTTTACAAGTATCAAAATCACATAAAATCACTGTCTTCCAGAAATTTTCTTTTTTTAAAATTTTCAACAAACATACTGTTAGCAAAAGGCTGGAACTACTACCTATTGGTATTTTCTCTTTTTCTATGAGCAATAAAACTGGTAAAAAAGTTGCCGACGAGATCCATTCCTTCATCCCATGTTTTCTGAGATCATATGTTTCACGTTCTTTGAATAACGAAATTTTGCTGCAACCTCTTCATTTTCTGTCTCAATACCTCGAAAACACCTTCGGTGGACCATCTACATTAGCTAACAAATCGAGAACATGCTTTCTTCCAGCGACACTGAGTGCACCACTGCTCTTTATTTTCCATCCCATAAACCTTTCTACACTTACGAATCTCGGATCGACCTTTTCTGTGTGTGGGAGAGCCTTTTATGGTTGGTGAAAAAGATTTAGGACTCAGTCGCAAGTACTTTGGGGACAAAGCCTGCAGAATCATTAAAAGATTACTTTCAAATCATTAAATCTGTTTTTTCAACAAAGCCTTATTTTCCTAAAAGCTACACTTTCAATGAGTTTCTACTTTTTATATATTATAAACCTACTGATATGTGATGGTTCTCGTACTCTGCTCATTAAGTTTCACTATTCGTGTGAGTAAAACTGGCTAACCTACCAACCTTATAAATGGACAAATCTTAATAAACACATTTCAGAGAGCAGTGATGGTTTGCTAGGGGGGTCAGGAGATCCTCCACTCCCTAGCATATGTTTGAAAATTTAAGTACATTTGAGGTGAATTTCACGTTTATTCAACTTAAATTTTAGGAAACTAAATGGATAATAAAACATATGATACACCCATAAGAGTGATTTATAAAACAGTTTTGACATCTTGATCTTCATTTTTTTTAAAGCTTAGCCAAGTTTTAAAAAACAGTGATTGGACAAATCTGGGAAATTAATGACAAAAACTATACTTATCAGGTAAAATGTGTAATATTGAAAGAGGGTGAAAAAAAAATCTAGACAGTTGGCAGGTATGCACTTGTATGAACTATACGAGTGGGTTGAACTTTTAAAAAATAATAAATAGTTCCTTACCATGTCACTAGGGGCACTGACAGCATATGGATGAGGTTGCCAATGAAGAATGGGCTGGAAGTTGGAGATAGTAACTGGATTTGTCAGAGATGTTATACTCTGTTCTCTCTGGTTTTTCAAAATAAAACAGTTGTTTTTATGAAAAGAATGATAAATAGACAAAACAACATATTAATGAGGGCCAAAAAAATCTTTATTCATTACAGTGAGGATAATTACTAATGGAACTTAAGATTTTTAAAACTAGATAATAACAAATTTAACAATACATTAATGATTGTTAATGTGAGAAAACAACAATCTTTCTGAAGGTATAGTTGATATCTTTTCACATCTAACATTTCACCAGTGGCCAGAGTATTCCAAATATTTGTTATTTAAGTACGATTATATATATTTTTTGTTCATGTAAACAAGCCTGAAACTAGAGTACTATCTTGTGATTACTGCAAAAAATGTTACATACAATAAAATAACAACGTACAAGTTGAAGTACATAACTTCAGATTACTTTCATCAGATATTAATACTGCACACCACCAAACGAAGGACACCCAATTATGGTAATTGAAATATGTTTCGATAAACTGCTGGATTCTTAGGATAGAAGAACAAATGATAAAATCTTTTTCTACAACAGTTACACTGAACAACTCCATGTCAGTATTAGGAGTTTTCAATTTGTTTATTAATGAAAGACTTAAAAGAAATTATTACTTAAAAAGTAAAAGAAAAATCTAATTATTCAAAATGTCTTATGTTACACTCTTTGATGTTGGAAACTATCTCATACTCCCATCAACAAAGCATTAAACAAAGCAAAAAGTTTTCTCTTATCAAGTAAATATATTCTTGATTTTTCTTGGTCTTTACCTCCTTCTGAGGTTCCCTGTACTCTGGATTTTCATGGGGAGGTTTCACCATATCAAGGTGACTGAGGGTAGGGGCAGATGAGGTATATATGTTGGCCAATTCAGGAGATAAAAGAACACTGTCAGTGCTTCCCTCTGGGCTAGCTGGAGGAGGAGTTGGATGATGATCTATTTCAATCTCTGTGTAATAAAACTCTTCTTCATGATCATCACTGAGGTCCGAGATTTGAGTCTTAGAACGGCTAAATGAAGAAAACTCCCAATTAAAGATAACAAAACCTGCTATCTTAACTTTCTACACCTTACTTCAACAGATCCAACATTATTCAACACAAAGCACACTTAACTTGCTACATGGTATTAAAGTAATTACCAAATCTTTTTAAAAGCTGAAAGATAACAAATTATAGGTAAAAAAGATTTACATTTTTGACCAAAGCAAACTATGAATATATGAAATACAGTTCATTTTCCGATCCATGTATCAAAATGACTTTGCCTGTTGGTAATAACGAATTGAAAAACATACAGATTTCTAAATGGATATATTTATTACGTGAGGTGTGAAAGTTTACGAGAGCACATATGTTAACTTGGTATCTATACAATAAGTATACATCGAATGAAATAAAAAGAAAACTATTTTACGTTCTTAACATCGTTGGTCAAATTTCAAATGACACATGTTTTGGGAAATAATACTTCAGTAAAGTGTTACTAGATGCCAGCACTTACCGTAAATGACGCATACGAACGTGTTTCTCCACATCTTCACACAAATAATACTGCTTGCCGCAGCCGGGCCAAGTACACTGGAATAGAGTCCGCGTCTACAAAAATACATCCAAACAAAATCTTTCACAGAGATGATGGAACCACAACCAGAGAGTTATAAAATCCATCACACTTTTCCGGTTGGAATTATCGTTACTGTTAATTAAAAGGCTTAAAACTATGATTCAAATATTGAAATTACAAAAAACATATATATAGGTATTTTGTCCCTTTTTTTTTGCATATCAATATTTCCTTTTAGTGAAAAATCCTTAACTTGGATAAAATATATTACGTATATGTGTGTGAGAGGGGGAGGGATGAATATTAAAAACTTCTAAACAACTATGCCGCCTGAGTGATCTAATTAAAAAACAAGGTTGGCTTCGTTACTTGCATTTAGTGGAAGTGGGTCACATATTTTCGAGTCCACATAGCCTCGCTCTACATGTTGTGATTAGGGTAATTGGGTTTTCTCGATGGAAGGCCGAATACTTCCGACACGAAACCGATTAATCTGGAATGTTTTTTTGTTTTGTTTTTTAAATCATATTCACGGTTTACTAAAATAATCTAGCTTTTTTGTATATGAATAATATAGATATTGAACGTTAACAGTGGAAAGATTAACGAGAAAGAAAACAACTCCAAAACATAATTTATTAACATGTCCTAGTTCTACTAAAAAACTAAATAAATTTGAGTTTCTACTAAAACTATCCTTCAAAATTTGCTGTGCTTCGGGTCAACTACAAAGATATTAGTCGAATTACAAAACAAATCTTACTCTGCGTCATTGTCATTTCTTCTTCCCGGTAGGGGACCAAAAAGGACAATTTCTGTTAAACATCTAGAGTCAGGCCGAATTAATATGTACACACGCCTTAGCATACGATCCCTAATGGATTAGGGGAGGGGTAAATCTTCATTACCTACCTTCCCACCCCCAAGCCTTTTGTAAAATAACGTTCCTGCCTGCACAAGTTCGTTTATTTCTACCCTAAAAATTTATTTTTCTTCTTCTGATATCTTGAAATTGAAGGAGCGAGATACAGGAAATATAATATAGTTATTATGGATATTTGGTCCTGCATTATTCATGTAAGTGGACTTTTATCTCGTTTCTATCTTTTTTTTTTCTTTTGTGTGTGTATATATAGGCCACTCAAGGAAAATATTAACACTTTTTTATTTCCCTGGCCAGGGCTTTTAAAAATACATTCGCCTTGGAGCACTTCTAATCTTATATTTCCCGCCCACTTGCGTATGGTAATATGTTCGTACAAATACTACGATGTACTTATACCCTGACATCAACTACTTGAAGTTTTCTATCTATGATAAATTTTACTGTACGATATCTCTCCACTGAGAAAAGTAATCATGAAGCCATGAAAAAAGACACTAATTACTGATGCGTGATGTTTTTTAATCGCTGCGTAATTAGATTAAAAAATAAACCACCCTGCAAGTGAATGTAAGGAGACTTTAGGCCTAACGTTCTGGGTCAAAGTCCTCGATAAGCCTCACTGCCAAACTGGGGCACAATTCAACACCACAGCACATAACCCTAACAACGTAAGTAAAAAAAAATATTTACATAAACACGACACATATATATATATATGTACTAGCATTGATTCAGTAAGTTGAAAAAAAACATATATATATTAACGTTGCTTACAAGAGTTTATTATATTACAAAATGCATATTAATAATCTTTTGAGAAAATAATTTGAACAAAAGTATGAAAAATCAAATTTTACGTGATATTCGTTTGATCAGTTACCATGTAATAAACTACACCTCGTATCCATGTCTAAACTACGCCACGGTTACCATTTACCATGTAATAAACTATACCTCATATTCATGTCTAAACTACGCCACGGTTACCATGTAATAAACTACATCTCGTATTCATGTCTAAACTACGCCACGGTTACCGTGTAATAAACTACACCTTGTATTCGTGTCTAAACTACACCACGGTTACCATGTAATAAACTACACCTCGTATTCATGTCTAAACTACGACACAGTTACCATGTAATAAACTACATCTCGTATTCATGTCTAAACTACGCCACGGTTACCGTGTAATAAACTACACCTTGTATTCTTGTCTAAACTACGCCACGGTTACCATGTAATAAACTACACCTCGTATTCATGTCTAAACTACGCCACGGTTACCATGTAATAAACTACACCTCGTATTCGTGTCCAAACTACGACACAGTTACCATGTAATAAACTACACCTCGTATTCGTGTCTAAGCTACGCCACGGTTACCATGTAATAAACTACACCTCGTATTCGTGTCCAAACTACGACACGGTTACCATGTAATAAAGTACACCT